TCTGATTAATCTTTGTGTAGATCTAGTAGAGTGCTGTATGAATGGGTGAATGAGGCACAGATTGTAGTGTAAAGCGCTTCGAGTGTCTTGATAAGAGAAAGGAGCTGCTGTATAAAATGGATGGTAAATGGACTGTACTTATATAGCGCCTTTCTATCTTTTTTCAAGATACTCAAAGCACTTCACACTACACTCTGTGTCCTCATTTACCCATTCATACAGCACTCTACTAGATCTCTACAAAGCTAATTGAACAAATCATTCTAAAGAGACTAATCAGTGCTTTAGATTACATTCATACACTGATGGGACACACATCAGAGGCTATGAGGGGTTCAGTGTCTTGCCCAGGGACGCTTCAGCATGTGACTGCTGGTGGATTCGAACCCCCAACTCTTGCATTGGAGGACGACTGCTCTAACCACTCAGCCACAGCCAGTGGCATTAAGTACAGTCCATTTAAAGAAAGTTTTTCTCTTAGCACGAGGGAACAAATTTAAAATCACAGCTAATTTTAATCATTATTTTAAACAAGCTGCACTGATCTTCATTTGGTTTAAAGGCCGAACTGCAGCTTCTAGATGATTTGTCTCCAACAAGACTGGCTGATGATCAAATCTGAAATAAAGTTGCATTCTTCACTGGGCCACCACCATGAAACAACCAATTAAAACTGAGATAAAAGCACCACAACACCAAACATGAAACTGTCCAGTCCTCTAAAGACAAGTTTCAGATGATCAGAGAGCTCTGTCAGATCTGAGATTACAAATGTTCAGACTGCAGAGATTAGAAGTTTGAAATGTTGGACATACAGAACAAAAGCAGCTGCAAACATCTGTTGGCTGCAGCACTTCACTTCTGCACATCTTCAGCTTTCGTCTTTACTCATTGATGGAGCTGCAGCTGAAACTGCAGGACTGTTCACACTCATTTAGTGACTGTTTCTCAGCCGTTGGCGCTGAAGACGAGACGGACACATTTAATTTCTATAACCGCTGCGGTCCCTCTCAGTTCTGCTGGGACCGATCAGAAACCTGGCATCAGAACCTGAGGTCCATCAGCCTGCAGAGTCACAATGAAGCTTGTCACCAGCAGGAGGAGGAAGTTTTCCACTACAGGGAGCAGCAGATTAAAGAGTGAGCAGACGAAACTTGTTTCAGTCGACACGTTGCTGAGAGAACCGTGTGAACAAAAACAGCTTAATTTCTCAGGATGCTTTCTATCGGCTTCAGAAGAAGTTCATATTGATCAGTGATCACAGCGAGCCTCTGAAACACGGAGACGTCAGCCTGATTAAAGACCGCCTGTCCACTCTCCCACTGCTCCCCTGGAAATCCAGGCCATTCCTTCCAATACATGTAACAGAAAGGACTCCATGTAGGAACCTGACGACCTGTGAACTCATCAGCAGAAGAATCGTAAGCTGCCTTCTGTTCCCCTTTAGAGATACAAGTTCATGTTGAAATCCTTTAAATCTCTTCTGTGGAACAAAGTTCTGTATGGTGCAACACAATACAAAATAAACTGGAAATAAACAGGAATTACAAGAACAATAAAACGTTAAAGTCCACATCTATAAAGAATAAAAATTAGTTTGGGCAAGGACTGAGCGAGGCCTGTCTGACGTGTGAAGCTCGTTCTCTAACCTGACAACTGCTTTTGATCCAGTCCGGAGCAGCTGGTCTGGGAGAATGGGCAGGTATGTAAGCAGCTCAGAAAGACATGGAAGAGACCATTTAAAGAAATTAAATCATTTTAAATTGAACTGGCGACCAGTGATAGATTTTAGAACAGGCGTCGTTTTAAATATGTGCCATGTTTCAAACATTTGTTTTAGAGGAAACCACAGCTTTTCTGCTGCAGTTTCATGGTTTCTGTGGTTCTGCTGCTCGTGTACACAACAACAGCCCTCATTTTGTCTCAAACCAAAGGTTTTTGAATCCTGGTCTCAGAGTGGAGGTTTTCAGGAGGAACCTTGAAAAGACACATGCAATACAGGAGGCTGCAGTCCAAAGTTACTCTGCTCTAACAACAGTCACAACAGATGTTTATTGTTTGTGCTACTCACCATTTTTCAGCATCCTGGGTCCAAGTTCATCAGTTTAGACTTGACTGTGATGATGCGTGCAGCTGAGCCCATCAGGGTTGCCAGATCAACATGAACAGATTTTGTTACCCTCCTCTGTCACACGTTCACCAAACACAACACACGCCTCATCTTCCTCAACACATGACAGATAGGGTCAAAACACAACCATTTTAAAATGACAGTGCAACAGTTCATTTCTTATATGTAAAATCTGCCTGCCATAATAACTATCTGCTCTTTTTCTGTTTATTAATCTTAATAAGTATTGAAAAAACTTCAGTGTTTCTAGAGATTGTTCTCGTGTAAACGGTCCTAAAATAACTGAATATTCGAGGCTGTGCAACCTAACAGGGAGGACCTGCTATGCCCTGAACACCACCCATGGCTCTAAATGGAAGATTAACATTTCATGATCCTCTGCATCAATCATTGTGGTCAGATCTAAAAGCACCACACAATCACCAGGATCAGTAGCTAAAATATATCAGTACTGGTTGACCAACTCCACCACCAGTTAAACACAACTCTTCATTTGGACAGTTCAGGTCCACACCACAAACATGTACCCAATAATTTCACTGATTGATTAGTGATCAGAATATGTGGGATTAAAGTAAGAAGATTAATCAAATATTGGGCTATTACTATGTTGTGATGGACTTGCGACCTGTTCAGGGTGTACCCCGCCCCTTGCACAGTGATTGCTGGACATGGACACCGGCGACCCCCGTGACCCAAAATGGAAGAAGCGGGTAAAAGATAATGGATGGATGGATGCTACTAAGTATTAATTTAAACCTAAAATGTCTAAAGTGTTTCTGTTTATTTGCTGATATTTATTTATTTTATAAGCTCAAGTTCATGTCAAAGAACATGAAAAAAATTTCTGTTGCAACAAACAAAAGACAAATTGGAGTTCAGAGTGGAGCAAACAGCAGAATATCCTGATGCATGCTCAATAATCCAGGTAGAAAAATCCAAAAAAGTTCAATCTGGTCCTCTGGACATTAAAAAAAAGAACAAAAAACAAAACAAAGCAAAAAAATATAGAAACGTTTCATCTCTCATCCAAGAGACTTCCTCAGTCTGAGGTGCTGTTTTCAGCTCAGTCTCTTAAATAGCACCTTCTCAGAGTGGATCAACCAGTTTGCTGCTGACAACCAAAACCAGCTGCTCACATGGTCAAGAAGGACCATCAGTCTAACAATGGCTCATTAGCACACTGATGGCTGTTTACTATTCACAGAGGGCTGAGTGATACTAGCAATCACAGCATTGTAAGAGGGGGACAGTTGAACCCGGAGGCCTCCACCCCTGTTTAATGATGGACGATTTCTTTTCACAAAGATGGCCTCCTTTACTCCTCTCTCAAACCATCGTTCCTCTCTGTCCAGGATGTGAACATCTTCATCCTTGAAAGAGTGACCGCTGGCCTGGAGATGAGTGTAGACCGCAGAATCCTGGCCTGATGATGTTGCTCTTCTGGGCTGGGCAATCCTTTTGGCCAGTGGCTGTTTAGTTTCCCCTATGTAAGACTGATCACAGCCCTCCTGACACTGAACAGCATACACAATATTACTCTGTTTGTGCCGGGGGACTGGATCTTTGGGATGAACCAGTCTTTGCCATAATGTATTTTGGGGTTTAAAAGCCACTGGAACGTTATGTTTAGAAAATAAACGTCTCAGTTTCTCTGATACTCCCTCAACATATGGAATGACCACTGGTCTGGGTCTGGGTTCCTCCTTTTCACCTGTTGGCTGACTGGAGTCCTGTTTGGGTTTCTTCTCTGCTTTCAGGAAGGCCCAGTTAGGATATCCACATTGCTCTAGAGCCTGTCTTGTGTGGGATTTCTCCTTCTGCCTGGCTCCTGAGTTAGTGGGGACGCTGTCTGTTCTGTGATACAGAGTCCTGATGACTCCTAACTTGTGCTCCAATGGGTGATGGGAGTCAAACTGCAAATACTGGTCTGTGTG